TTCAAGTCTTTAATACATTATTTGATCATTTTTAGTTCTAATGCAAATAATTATTCTTACTGCTCTGAAAACAGCTGCTCGGTTACAGTCAGTATGCACCGGTGGCAAGGTGCTTTATAGTGCGCTGCTTTGCTGGCCCCGTAATGCGCTGTCATGTTTTGCATGTCACTAATGCAGACTCCAGACTAACGAGAGTGCAATTGTTTGTATTGCCATGCACTGGAAATGGTCTGCTGAGGAAGGCTGCTGTGGTGTAGCGTTGAGGAGTTGATGTGAAACCTTTGCTCTTCAGTGCAAGCAGGAGATGCAGTGTGGCGCTCTGAGTGCTCATAATCTGGTGCCTCTTCTCTCTTAATGTTGACCTCTATTTCTGTAGCTGTATTTGATTTCTGCCAGACTGTTCGTGACCCCATGTGGCAGCACAGCCCCAAATTAATAAGGATCCGCGTTGACAGCTGCTTCAAAAGCATCTGGCCTCTTTCTGTGATTTTCTTATTGTGAGCAGGGTGTTGGATGTGGTCTCTCCAGCATTTCTTGTGATGTTTGCTGCTTTCCTGTGGAACTGTGGCTTCTGGTGCTTGGAGAATTGTGCTTTTAGCTTTGTTTTGCAAATTAACTGCTGCGTGAATAATTTCTTGTTTACTGTAGAAGTGTGGGTACCCAGCAGTTGAAAGAGAAATGTCTTCCAATGGGTTTCCCCAGTGAAGGCTGTATCTAGTTCTCCCAGTAAATCTGATTTGTGCAAGAAGGTGAAAAACAACACTGAATCCACAGCTTAAGGTGTGCTGTGTGGAGCCTTCGTGACATTCTTTATCTTCTTTCATTCATTATCTGCTCCGTATTGTTTTGGTAAGCACTGGCTGGCTTTGGACTCAGTGCTTTTATTGTTACAGCAGTGTCTGAGTTGCACCACTGTGGTGCTTCCACAAATTACTTTTGAGAATTTGTACACCATCTGTGTGCAATAATGAAGCTTTTAGCAAACTCCAGATTGCCACGCTCGTGATGGAGAGCATGGCTGAAAGCCAGCCCAATGAATTGAGGTCACGTCCCCACTGGGGGCTGGAAGAAAACTCTAGGTGAGACGATCTTGACAATCCTTTGAGAGGCATCTGTTCCTGGTAGGACTTTGGCAGTCATGGTTATGGCTGTTGATCTTTGGGCTTTGGCCCCTGAATGGGAGGAGCAGAGAGAAGGGGACTCGCTGTGGGTGTCAGTGAGAACCTCAAGGAGAGATACTGAATGTTTTCAACAGTCAGAGATGGAAGGAGACATGGCTGAATGCAAGACCTATAAAGCTGGTCGCAGAGGTTAAAAATAAATCATCACAGCAAAATAGACAATGCCTACTTCTCAGACCAGATTTTTAGAGGATTAGTACGTCTCCTGAATCTTTCAGATCAGTGGAGGTCTTGCGGTTTTCTTGCAGGTAAATGCTTCATAATACCACAATTTTAAGAACCTGATGTTTGGAATATTGAGGGATAATAAGAAGTTTTGGGTGTGGGTCTGTGTGGGAGGACATAAGGTGAAAGGATTAAACAAACGAAAAAACCAACCCAAACATGAGCTGTTGTACCAGGTAAATACACTGTATTAAGAAGAATTTGACATGAGAGGGACATCTTGTGGTACAACTTAAAGTAAATAAATAAATACAGTGCAGAGGCAAAGCTGTCACCTCTGGGTAACATTTCTGACAGGAGTTGATCGTGGTTCAAGTTGTGCTCCTTCCAGTTTTCCTGCAGCAGGGCACTTTCTCATTTTCCCCTTCTTTTGTCTCCATGAGCAGAGGATTGCAGTACACAAGTTCTACCAAATACACCCTCAGTCTTGGTGCAAATTATACTAATATTTAATGAAGAAATTAAAATGTCAGTACCATTATTTCAGTGAATGGGTTGCTTCACCAGAGGCATGCAGTACAGCAGTGTTCCAGCTGTGGGTGGCTAACATTTATTTTCTGTGAGTCGCAATCAGGATTCCACGTGTTTAAGAGGAATCCGTGTAATTTTCTAGGAGTACAGAGGGCCACGATTGTGTATAATTAGTTGAAATAAAAGTTAACTTACGTCTGTGAAGCACAGTATGGAAGAAGTATGGTATAGGTTTGCTGTTGGTGCACCTGAACTTGCAGATCCCTTGTTGGATGAGTTTTGATCATGTGGTGATAAAAGTTTAATTATCTTTTATAAGCAGTTGGTCTCCCAAGAGTTCTCATTGTAATTTTGAGTTCTTGAATACCTTTTAATAGTCTCAGCTGAGGTTGTACTGCATCACTGGGAGAAACGCCTAGATGTTAGAAGTATTTTCAATGATTGGCACCCAGAATCCCGGCTCTCAGCTACCAAAAATACCCATTTTCACATCTCTTGCTTGGCTGCTTGTGCACTGGACCCCAGAGCTGCTCTGGTAGGGTTATATCCTGCTTGGTCACCTTTTTAGTTCCAGTTCCAGCCTTCCCAGTGCTGCAGGTCAGCATATTGAGAGTCAGTGTGAGCTCATGGTTGTGGCTTGGGTGCATGCAGTGAGCAGCTGTAGGTTGGCCTGGACACGGAGCAGAGCTGTTACCCTGTGCTGAGGGAACAACAGGCTGTCAGCTAAAGGAAAACATTCTCTTACTAAGAAATGCCTGTTGGCAATGTAGGAGTTAAGCCTGGGCTACTAATAAAAATAAAACATGGAGGACGTTTTGATTTAGAGGAACATCTTTTGTTTTGAAATTTGAGCAACCAGACGTTGTTCTGGGCAGTCTCAGGATTTCCAATACTACCTTATTTTTATATATCTGAGATATATTTAAAGTTCAGTGTGTGCTGTTTTCCTAAGGATGTTTATAATGTGCCTATTCATGCCTAAGGAGCCAGAAATACTATGTGAATCAATTGGTATGTAAATCATTCTCTGCTTTGGAAAGATAGGAGATCATTTCTCCAGCAGTAATTCAATCATAGCTTGTTTTTTGTATAACCACAATACACTTGCCTAAATTTAATTCAAAGTTTATGTTTCCTAGCTACAGTTCTAGTACTTAATTTTCCATGGGTAGAAATGGCATAAATTATAATAGAAATGAAGGACAATGGCAAAGTGATCTTTTGGGGGAAAGGGGTGGAAAAGTAACATTTTTGGTTTCGGGATGCTGTAGGAGACAGAGTAAAAATCTGCCGAGTCATGGTGTTGTCCAGCCAAGGCTTTTGACCAGTAAAAACACACTGCAAAATGGCTTTTCTGCCTACAGGTCAACTGAAATCCCAAGTGTTGCAATGTGATGGCTTTGATATTTGTTCCTGTGGCTGTAATTCCATTTCCATTGGGTATCCAATGGTGTGACAAAAGTTTAGCTTACATTAACCAAAACCTTGGGTTTCGGTAGGATTCAGTGTGTGGATTTGAGCTGGTACTGATGACAGTGGAATGCTTTCATTTTGGACTCAGGTTGCCAAAGAGCCTCACTTTGCTCCACTGCTGGTCAGCTCAGCGAGCAGCTCCAGGCGCTGGGCTCAGATCGAGCCTGTCTCCAGGCTGTGCTTTGCAGCACATTGAGTGGGTGAGATGCTCTCAGGTGTTATCCTGTCGTTGGGCAAATGAGATAGCAGCATCCCCTTACGACATCCACGCCTTGGGTGCATAGGAGAGTCATTTCTGGTCAAATATGTGTGGTGGGATTTGTTGCTGGTGTGACTCCTGTGCACCACTGCTCTCTGGCATGCCAGCAAGCTTTTTGTTTTGCAGAGCTGGTTTAGTTCGCGTTGGGTGCTGTCGGTGATAGTGACGCCTTTGCACTTTGTGTGCACGTACGCAGGAGGTGACTTTCCCTTCGGAGCAGCACCTGAATTACCAGTGAACTGCATCTCTCAGCTCGGATGCCCTTGGTTTCAGGTGTCTCCTAAGCAACACAAACTACGCGGGGAAAAAGACGCCGTTTCCCCCCAGAGCTCCCACCGGGGCTCCTATAGAAAAGCCTTAAGTCCCGCTAGGCGCTCGCCCTCTCCTCCCTGCTCGGTCCGCGGCCACCCGCCCCGCTCAGGCGGTGGGCGGCAGGGCACGGCACGGCGCGCCCGCAGGACCGGGCGGCAGCCGCCGCGCTGCAGGGACGCCTGCCTTCGCCGTCGGCTCCGAGGTCGCGCAGGGTGAGGCACCGCGGCGGTACGGGGGGAGGCGGCGGCGATCCTGCGGGGCTCGGCCCTTCCCGGGGCGGGGGCTGCGGGGGAGCCCGGCCGGGTCCCCGCCGGCGCCGCGCCCTCCCCCGCTCTCCTGCCCGCCTCCCTCCCCTTCCTCCCGCCGTCCCCTCCCCCGGCTCCGCAGCGCCGGGCAGAGCGGAGCCGCCGCGCTCGCTGGGGACGCGCGGGGCTTTTGTTCGCCGGCGGCAGGTGAGGGCCGGGCCGCGGCCGCGCGGAGCCCCGGGCCGGGCGGGGGGCGACGGGGCCGGAGGGACGCGATCCCGGCGGGGCGGGCGAACAAAGCGGCGCGCAAGATGGAGCCAGGAGAGCGGGGCTGCGCCTCCCGCCCCTCCGCGCATCTCTCCGCACGGGCGTCCGCGGGAGGCGCAGACCGGGAACCGCCGCTCGGTGGGCCCGGGGCGGGCGGCGGGGCGTGGGGCCGGAGGCGGCGGGAGCGGGGCGGGGATGATGCCGTAAAATGCTTTCCCCTTCTCTTCTGTCAGCGTTCGGGAGGACTCCCATCCGCGCTCGAGGAAGGCTCCTTCTCCCTCTTCCCCGTCCCTCAGCCCTCCTGAGCGAGGCGGCCCAGCCGGAGGGCTCTAATAGCCGCCCTGTGTCAGCGTGAAGTTGCTGACATGACTGCCGCCGGGTCCCCGCGCACCGGTAGCGGCGCGGAGCCGGGTTTAAAGGGGAATTGCGCCGCAGACAATGCACAGCAGTGGCAGCTGGAGCAGCCCTGGGGACCCGAGCTCCGGTTCTGACATTGCTGCACGCAGAGCCCCAGCCGCAATGACAGCAGCTGCCTGGGGCGGCTGCAGGCAGCAGGCAGGAGCATGAAGTAGAGATCACTGCAGTGCTCAAGATGAACTCCTCTTTGGTTGGCAACCAGAGTGGCCGGCCATTCTGTCTCCTGGCCATTAGCTATTTGGAGACCATCAATTTTTGCCTTCTGGAAGTGGTTATTATTGTGTTCCTCATGGTGCTGATTATTTCGGGCAACATTATTGTGATATTTGTCTTTCACTGTGCACCTCTGCTGAACCACCACACCACCAGTTACTTCATCCAGACTATGGCGTATGCTGACCTCCTGGTGGGCGTGAGCTGTCTGGTGCCTTCTTTGTCCCTGCTGCACTACCCAGTTGTTTTAAGCGAGTCTTTGGTTTGCCAAATCTTTGGTTACGTGGTATCGGTGCTGAAGAGCGTCTCCATGGCCTCTTTGGCATGCATCAGTATTGACAGGTACATTGCCATCACCAAACCGCTGACCTACAACACGCTGGTCACCCCGTGGAGACTGCGGATCTGCATCCTGGTCATTTGGCTGTACTCCTGCCTGGTCTTCTTACCCTCCTTTCACTGGGGAAAGCCTGGATACCACGGGGACGTGTTTCAGTGGTGTGCCAATTCCTGGAACACCGATCCCTATTTCACTCTCTTCATCGTGGTGATGCTGTACGCCCCGGCAGCTTTCATTGTCTGCTTTACGTACTTCAACATCTTCCGCATCTGCCAGCAGCACACCAAGGAGATCAACGAGAGGAGGGTGCGCTTCAGCTCTCAGGATGGGGAGGCAGGGGAGGCACAGCCCTGCCCGGACAAGCGCTATGCCATGGTTCTTTTCCGTATCACCAGTGTCTTCTACATCCTCTGGTTGCCCTACATCATCTATTTTCTGCTGGAGAGCTCCAACGTCTACAGTAACCGCATTGCATCCTTCTTGACCACTTGGCTTGCCATTAGCAACAGTTTCTGCAACTGTGTCATTTACAGTCTCTCCAACAGTGTCTTTCAGAAGGGGCTGAAGCGTCTCTCGGGGGCGATTTGTGCCTCTTGTGCCAGACAGAGGGTAGCCAAGGACTCCTCTACCTCTAGGAGCAAAAGATCTTCCAATGGATGTCACGTTTAAGACACCTATCAGCTTGACTGGGAAGTGCAGGACAGCTCTGTAATTTGCAAAAAGTTAAATATGATTTTATGATGTCCAGATTTGCAAAAAGGTTTCTGAGAAATGCTGCTGACACAGAAGAATCAGGAGCACATATCATTGTGGTTTCACTTTAAAAAATTTATTGCTGTGGAGGCGGCTGTGGAGTTTCACCTCCATATTCGTTTTTAAGAATAAAGCTCTATCTTGACACTTACCTCTCCAGCTGGTGTGACTGAATGGAGTGGGTGTCTGAGAGCTTCAGCAAAATGTAGTCTTTCTTACAGTTCTGCTAGGTTCTTTTGAGATTCGTGCTTCACATGTAAATGATAGATCTGAAGTGGAAATGTCATGGTGTATGGTATATTACAGGGATTTTTTAATATATGCCAAAGTATATTGACAAAATTTTCCAGCGTTGTAACAGAAGGGGCCAAACCTTGTTTTTCAGTGCTGCATAGACAGGACTTCCAGAACAGTGGGGAACAATGTAATGTTTTCTCATGAGCGTGGTCTCACAGAGCTGTGAGTGCAGCGCTCTGATCTGAGCCGTCCCCGGCCCCGTTCCTCTGGTTGGCCGTGTGTGCAGTCAGAGTACAGCAACTGCGTCTTCCTGGTTGTTGTCAACTAAGAAAAACTTGAATCAGACCACATCTAGCAGTTAAATAAAATGTGTTTTGATAAGCTAAGAGAAAAATACTTGTCATTTTATGATACCAGAATTGTGGCAGCCACTTGAGAATGATGCCAACATGTGAAAATTATTCTCCAAACAGTGGAGAAATGCCACATTTTTGTGTGGAAATTTTCTCAAGAACAACTTTAAAAATAACATGTTCTTTCCCCCCCCCCCCCTTCTTTAATCTAAATTCTTTTGATATTTTACATACTAGAACTTAGGGAGAAAGGAAAGAAAACAATTGTCTTCTAAACAGCTAAGGGAACTATGTTGTAAATTTAACTGTAGTATTTGAGTTATTCATAAGCGCACAGAGCTAAATCAGAGACATTTTTCTTTAGGCTTCCGGGGATTAATGATGGTTCGAATATAGCAGGAGCTAAAGCCTGTTGGCAAACACATATTTAACTGGTCAAACAATGTGCAGTATCTGAGAAACAGTTTCATTGACCACAGCTTTTCTCAGGCTTGCTTAAACAAAGTGTTTTTAGTATTGTGATGCCGTTAAGAATTCAGCACAGCCCTCAAATTGATTGGTTTTTCAAAAGAACATCTTTTTACTGGTGTTGTATTGGAACAGTAAAGCGTTTGTGAGCCGTGTCCTATAGCAGTGCGTTACATCTGCATGGCCCTTTGCAGCCCCGGTGCTGCATTGGGTGCTGTGACTTTGGGGAGTTGTGGTGGGTTTATACTTGTCGTATTGGGGAAGGAAAAAAAGAATAGGGAAAGTTAGTTTCAGAAATGTGTTTTAGACCTGGGGCAGTTCTCTTGGCCAAAGGAAGGACTGTGTGTGTTTGTTCTCAGGTCTGCTGTTGTTGCTGAACAAGATGATCTCTGTTTTTTAGTGGTCCTGCAAGCACACTTGTTCTCTCCTCTGTGCTCTGCGGGGAGCCCCAGTCCCTGGGTTCATGTGGTTTGCCCCAGGACAAAGCCATGTCGTGATCTGCTTTCAGTATTCATCCATACTCCAGGCTGGTCCAGATGAGCTTCCTTCTTAGTTTATCTGAAAGTTTAAGGCTATCCTCATGCCCTCACAACATTGCTTGTTGTCTTTCATATTAAGACGTTGTCTAGGTCGAGGGCTTACGCCGTCATCCTTGCACAGACAGCAGAGAGGAGGATCGTTCTGCTAAGCTGTGTCCATCTGCAGTTTGGTCAGAGACACCTGGCTGTGCCAGGTAGCCTTGGCGGGTGGAGCAGAGCACAGTGGTGCAGTGAGTCATTTATAAATGGTGCATTAGCTCACAGCTGGCTAATTGCTCTCTAGTGTTTTGTAGGTGTCCTGGCACGGGAGGGCTTTAGGGAGCAGTTTAAGGGCTTTAGTCACTAATATCGAAGCATTCCTGTGTGGTATTTTTGGAGCAGCCTCTCAGGTAAATTCCCAGTAGCTTTTCTCTGACTCTTCACCTTAGCTAACATTTCCACAATGCAATCCAGCATTCAAAGCATTTGATTAAATTCAATAGAAGAAAAAAACCGATCTGCTAGGCTTAAAACCCTAAGTATGATCATTTCAGGTTAAAGTGGAAGCTGGAGGACAAATGTTTGGTTTTTTTTTTTCCCTCCAAATTTTATGGCATGAATAAAAGGTTTAAGTAGGATTATTCAGTGCTGGTTTTTTGTGAATATGGAAGTTTAGCATAAATTGCAAGGAGTTAATGATGGCATAGAGATTTAACTTGAGTTGAAGCAGTTGCTGCTTAAGCTGTAAGCCTGGACTTGTACTTAGTGTAGTGGCTGGTACTGATTTAGATGGAAATTTGCAGCCATTGCTGCTTGCAACTGAACTTTAATTGTAATATTCATAACAGCTTGGCTTTTGTTCACTCACTCATCTCAATGTCTTCAGCTCAGGTGATTGCCATGAGGTGAAAGTCAGAATCTGGAAGTCTCTTCCAAGGTAAGAAGAGCAGAATTGCAGCCAGCTGAAGCATTCAGGTTTCATCCCGCATTTTCAGGCAGTTTCTAATACTGCATCAGTTGCCTGGTTCATTAGTCTGTATTTCTAGTTCTGTCAGTGTTCATTTATCTGTGTTTTAAATTTTAAGTTATATTTTCCCTGTCAGTTAAAGGCTGGTCAAGGTTTGTAGGCGATGAAGGGGTTTAAATATCCGTATTGTCTGACCCCACTGTCTTCAGTGAAACTGCTTGGAGGTGGTTCTTGGTCCCTGTGCCAACCGTGCAAGAAAGAATTTTGGAAAGTATTACCTTGTTTGCTCAGCAATCCATTTAACATCCTTGCTCACATAGTAAATGTGAGGCACAGTAGTTCTTTCCATCACCATATGTGCTATGAGTTGTTGGGCAGCAGGCTTTCCACTTGGATTGCTTTCATCACTGTACACATGAAACTAATCCTTCTTGGCCATATCTGTGTCAGCGTGTGCCTGGCCATTTAGAAATTGGTGCCAGGAGCACTGTGTATGTACATGCCACAATGGAGACAATGCAGAAATCAACTTATATCTTCATAAAAATTGTGTGTTGTGGTATGGTTTAATGAACTAACTTCGAGATTCCGTCTTATTTTTCATTAGAGTTCTGCCTCATTTTCACATGGAGCTGCTGCAAGGTCCAATGTATGGGGTAGAATTCAGTAGGTTTTTTTATGCCACAGGAGAAGATTTCTATACGCACAACTTCTCAGAACGTGAGCATTTGCTTCATTGAAAAAAATCATACTGGAAGTCTGGGCTGTGGTGGCATTGTTGTTTCCCAAATAGGCTGGGAGAAAATCTGTGAATGATCATTTTAATAATTTTTAATGAAGTGACACTATTTTTAATAACAACAGTTATCTTTTGCGTGACGCAAACGTTTTGTTGTCATCTACTGTTAGTTTTTTATTAAATATTACTGGTTTCTGTGGTCTTTATGTGCTTTTGGAAGGGCTGTACTTGTATCTCAAGCTTCTTATCACTCAGAAATCTGTTTCTTTCAGTTGGAATTCTGACAAGGCTCTGTATCAGTGCCAAAGGGCAGTCGTGAATATTTGTCGTAAATCTTCTATAGGGAGGAAGCGGGGCCGAGGATTGAGGCACGGGGGATTCAGGAGCTGCAGGAAGGGTCTTTCTCAAAGCAGGAACTTGAATGAGAATTCCCACATTTTAGCCCTGCACTGCATCTCTGAGGCATTGCTCCTTTCCCCTTTGCATAGAGGTTTTACATGTAAGAAATCCTAAGTTTCAGGAAAAAGGTGATTCCAAAGGATACGATGTGAAATGGAAATATTCAGTGTGAAAAATTGATGAGCAGCCTTCTGATATTTGTTGTGTTGTTAGCAGCTGTATTGAACCTTTGTGAGCTGGGAAGGCAAACTTTTCAGTCTGCCCTTATTCCACATCTGGATTTGGAATTGGTTTAACTTGTATCCCTAACTCAGGTTGGTGCTTTAGAAAGTGTTTTTCTTAGGAACTAATATGTGAGCATGGGAACCAACCTTTAGGTGTGACAAACAAAAGGCCCATTTTTTTCCAATGGCTTTATTAATCTATTATATTTATAGTTCAGTATGAGAAGGTGAAAGTTTTGAAGGTTTTATTTAATCGTTGTTTAAACACATCTTTAGTGCTGCATGCTTGAAGCATCTGCTAAAATATTTGCCTGACCTGGTCCTTGTGTTGTTCCTAAGGTTAAAAACCCTTTTCTTCCCGTCTCCCACGTTGCAGAATGCAGTGGCACATCCTTTCAGTGATACCATTCAAAATAAACTTGAACTTTACCTCGCCACCAATTCTGTCTGAAGCTGAGAAAGCGCATTTGTAGCTGATGCAAGAGGTGTAAAGCCTCCACGGTGGGAGGAGGAATGGGCACTTCACAAACCCTGGGCTGTTCTGCTGAGGCTGCCAGGAAGGCAGAAGCTGGGCGCGGTGGGGGAGGCCAGGTCCATTGGTTCTCCCCAGGAAAGCAGTGCTTCCTCCCTGTTCTGCAGGCTGTGTCTGTTCCCTGCTCGTCTCTTTCCACTCTCTCCAGTCCCTCCTTTAGGATGATGAGAGAGTTCCCTATCGTGGAAATAATACATTTTACACTAGGAATGTTCTGACTTAAGGCCGGCATCTTAAAGCTTCGAGGTTGTCATTTCCCTTGCTGCCTATGCATTGCTGTCACCACTTTGAAAGATGTTTGAAAGCCAAGGCAAGCTGAAGTTATATACATAACAAGCTTTTGGAAGAGGAAAGCTTTTGAACGTTAAGATGTAGTATATGTAGAAGCAGGTCATTGTGTTTAGAGAAAGAAACCGAAAGTTGCTGCCAGGGGAAATAAACAAAAGAAACCTGTGGGACAGCACTGCGTGTGTGCACTTCTGGTATGATGTAAGCTGCAGTTGTGTCAACACAATGGAGTAT